ATGGGGTAGTACAATGAGTGCGTCATGATTGTTAGCTGTGTAGTTGGAAGGCATGCGTGCAACGATGATATCGATATGGCTACAATGGATGCACAACACCAGTCGCCGTGGTTTAGCCGGCTATAAACAAGTCTTGTAAACAACGCACAATGATCGCACAGGGGAAATTGAGGCTGATCGGTCAGGCATCCACCATACTCGAATCGCTGTCCTCCAGGCGCACCACAAACTGCCCAAGTTCAGTCATGTCGGTCGAGACACAGACAGCAACTCCAACGCATCTGGCCGCGCATCTAGCCACACACCTTCATAGTTCCTTGCACCGTCCACACATATTTTCTCTGCGAGGATGGAGCAACGAGAACAGTCGCAGGCACCAAAACGTGACCAAATATTTCGACAGGCAGCCACCCGTCAAACCCCACCCTCATCTGGGCCATTGAGCCTCAGATGCTCCAAGGCATCCATCCGACTGGCCGTGTGTTGTTGTTGTGCGGAGCAATGACGCTGTTTGGCCTGCGTTGCTCTAAGCTCAGTGGGTAGGTATCTACACAACTTTCAGCTCACACAGCTGATATTTCGTTCCATCTTATAAACCTTTCCTTGTTCCCCCCGTCACCCCTATCATCCCTATCATCCCCCATCAGATCTTTCTTTCTACAAACCATCGACATCAACCTCTACCCCACTGGCTTTTCCATCCGCTACGATGGCCACCCACTCTCCTTCAGAGTTCCAACCCACTGGCGCTCACTATGATCCCCCGACGATGCCCACGATGTCTCCCATCTCTTTCGATCCGATATCAGCGGCCATGAGCTTGCTATCCTCTTTTGGTTTATCCATGGACCTCGTCAAATATTATCCATTGTTGCTCATGGTTATCCCGCTATTTTGGCCCTGGTTACAATCTCTGAAAGAACGCGTGTCAAACTATTCCTACTCCCTTTTCTGGTGCAGCCTGGAGGTTGAACGAGTGCACAACGAACCATACGAACAACTTCACGCATGGCTTTCCGACCATCCTTCCGCTCGCTCATCCAAGAGTTTCGTCCTTACGCATAAATACGATGATAGTGCCTACAATGATATGCAAAATGGCTTCGATAACGATGGAGAGGGCCAGGAAGTCGCTTTTACCCCCGGTGGTCTTCATGAATTCTGGTACAAGGGATATAAAATCCATTGTCGTCGCTACAGAAAAGTGCCGGAGTTGTTTTACATTGACACGATTGAGTAAGCTCCTCAGAATTTTATTTATACGGTTCTTTGACTGTATGGAACTTTACGTTGGTCAACTGGGATGACAGGCGAGGGCTGTGAGCAAATTACTGACTGTCTTTTCCTCTAAACAGGCTCAGCGTTAGGGCTCGCTCTCCCCATATCCTCAAAGAACTCTATGCCGAAGCTCGGGCAGCATGGATTCAACGGGACTCCACCAAAACCATCATATACCGCGAACATGCGACCATGGACGATTGGCGACGTACCGTTGCAAGGTTTCCCCGGCCTCTTTCAACTGTCGTTCTTCCCCTATCAATCAAAACCAATCTTCTCGCGGATGTCCGCGACTACCTTTCCCCTGCGACTGAGCGCTGGTATACAGCACGTGGTATCCCTTACCGACGAGGTTATCTGCTGTATGGGCCACCTGGCACGGGGAAAAGTAGCTTGAGCTTTGCCCTTGCTGGTGTTTTTGGATTAAAAGTGTATGTGTTGAGTTTGGCAAGTCCAAAGCTCACAGAGGAGAGGTTGACGGGGTTGTTTGCAACCTTGCCGAGAAGGTGTATCCTCCTGCTCGAAGATGTTGACGCTGCCTTCATAAGTCGAACCAAGCCAGCATCTACAACGGAGGAGTCCACCACAACTGTAACACCGGAGAAAACGGATGGAGCCCCAACTGATGGTACCAATGGAAAAGATAAAGCCGAAAAAGAGAAGAGTGGCCCTCCAGCTGATTCCAAAATATCCTTCTCAGCGCTTCTTAACGCCATTGACGGTACGTTCCCTAACCCTTATTTCCCTTTCGCTCTTACTAACAAGGCTCTTTGATAGGTGTCGCATCCCGTGAAGGTCGCATCCTTATTATGACAACAAATCACATTGAAAAACTCGACCCGGCTCTTATCCGTCCCGGTCGCGTTGACATGAGGATCGAATTTAAACTTGCCGACACCTCCGTCCTTATCGCTCTCTTTAAGCGAATGTTTGAAATATACCCCAACGAAGACCCCGACGCTGAGACAGCCGACGACATGATTCTTACTAGTGCTGAGACCAAATGTAAAGATGAGGAGACGAAGATGATTCTTGATGAGCTGAAGATCAACAAACCGAAGACGCAGCAGACAACTTCTCAAGGGCGATGGTTCAGCGAGAGAAATAAATCGGATGGTGATAGGTTTCTCAAAGTCAACGAAGACGGTCAATTGGTGTCAAAGGAGAAGATGGATAGGGAAGCGGGGAACGAAGACTTGGATCGCATGGCGGAAAAGTTCGCCAAGAAAGTTCCGAGCGAAAAGTTCTCCCCAGCAGACATCCAAGGCTTTTTGTTGCGTTTCAAGAGGAGACCTGAGGAGGCGTTGGCCGCAACTGGGGAGTGGTTGAAAGAGAAGGAGGAGGAGAGGATAAAGCAGAGAGGTGAGAAGGTAGAAGAGAACAAGGATGAAGCGGATAAGGAGCAAGGTGGCGGAGAGGGTTGGGGGTTGGGGAGCTTGTGGTGAGTACGTGGCATTATTGGTGAATGATTAGAATTATGATTATGATGATTACGACGATGACGATTATGACCATGGGTGGAATGGGATTGTATATTAGATTGGTGGCACACGTGGAGTTCTTTGTTATGAGTATAGAGTGCACTTGGATGGTTTGGATAGGTGTGGGTGGGGACAGGAGAGGATGGCGGTTTTGTATGATTACTATTACGATAAAAGGATTGTTTGAAGCAGATGTGGAAATAGGGTTTCGGCAAGCGAGTTTCACCAGACGCCGTTGCGCAGCCAATGCAGACCGGGAGACTGCACATCACCTCCATCGTCGTCCAGCAATCCACATGCGTCATCGGCACCGGAGAGATCCACATCCGCGTCGGACGCCGCGTCGGTCATGTCGGTTTTATCGGCCTTGTCGTCTTGTCGTCTTGTCGTCTCTGGCTGTCGTCGTCTCCTGCCATGGCGTGTTCGACAGGGCGCAGTCAGCTTCATGACGCAAACCTCTCTCGGAGCGTGTCCGAGCCTAATCATCAAAACCACTGCTCCTCCTGCTCGCAACGTCTCCTGAACCTCTAACCCCATCAACTCCCCCAAACCGACCACTCTACCGCCGATCAGGACCCACCTGGAGCCCTCTCCTCTCCATCCTCTCCGCTCCTTCACCCCCTCCTCCCGGTACTACATACAAACATGGACAATCTTGCCCCGCCGGAACCCGATTTACCACACCACCGTCATCACATCCCATACTACGTCCTTCCGCTCATCTCAGCGGCAGTATGGATAGGCACCCTCTGGGCCATGATGATTGTCTGGCTCGCGGAAGGCCAACCCTTCTACGCCTCCATGTCGGAAACTCAAAGCATCGCCTACATCTCGGACGTGGGCGCGGACATTCTGCGGCCACTCTTCATCACCGGCTGTGCCATCACGGGCATCTTCTTCTTCCTCAGCCTGTGTGCCACGCGGAGCAACCACGATCTGCTGCGGCGGAAAGAACGCGTGCTGGATTGGGCGAGCATTATTAGTGCGCTCGTGGGTGCGGTTAGTTTGATTATGTTGGCGGTCATGGATACTCTGAGACATCCGGATTGGCATCGTGGTTGGCTGCTGTTTTTCATGCTGGGTGAGTTGGGTTGAAGGCGGCGGGGTGAGTGGTGGACACTGATGGATATGATACAGGCGTTGTTCTCTCTGCACTCTTCACAACAATCGAATACCGATTCCTAGGAAAAACTTTCCGCCAGACTAAAATCATCTACCTCTCCTACCGCTTCAAGCAGTTCATTGTCATCGTAGAAGTCGCGCTTTCCATCTCCTTTGGCGCGTGCATGTACAAGAAGAAACACAATGCTGGTGCAATCATAGAATGGCGTGTGTACCTCCACTGCAGCAAAATCTTCGTCACAAGAGAGAAAACTGATACACAACAGTCATCGCATTCCTCTTCACCTTCTACGTCCTCTCCTTCTTCTTCGATCTCCGCCCACGCGCAAGCACAAAAGGCATCATGACGCCCGAAGAGCTCCACGAGCTGCGCGAACGACAACGGCAAACAAGGCGACCCGGGATTCAGCGGTTTTTCCCTCAGCGAAGAGATGTCGATCCGGGACAGGGCGGGACCGTTAATGGCGGCGTGTGATACCATGGCCCCAGTGTTTTCTTTTTCCTTTTTTCCCTGCATCCTTTTTCTTTTCATTTTTTGCGTCGTTTACCCAGTCGTGATGAAAAACGGCTGTGCATACCCAAGGAGTTGAGAATTTTCTCGCGGGATATATGATACCATTGAAGGAGGGATGAGACCGTTTATATAGCGGTTTGATGGAAAGCTAGTTGCATTGTGTTATTGACGTACTGCATTGGTCGGGGTTTATAGATAGAAGAGCGATTTGAATTTATGTCCCGGTGGAAGAAGGGGCTGGTGTATATTATGGAGGTTGAGGACGTGGGGCATGTATAGGAACACTCCGACAAGAAGGTAGTTTACTCGTTCAACTTGTACAGATTGGCGAAATGTATGGAGTTTGGGAGAATTGAAGCACCCTCAAGCACCCTCAAGCACCCTCAAGCACCCTCAAGCACCCTCAAATTGACGCCTGTGGATGTGAGCACCACGTTACGCCTGTATAAGCTTTCGCTTCATCTCGTCCCAACCTCTCCCCCAGAAACCCATGGCAATAAAAAATCAAAAAATTCAACAGCAAAAAAACAATGTACCGCCCGCCCTCTCTGCACCTGAGCTAAACAAAAAAGGGACCAAAAAGGTAATTGAGGCGGTTAACCCTCAGCCCTACGCCGGACTCGAACCGGCAACCTTTGGATCGCTTGAAGGTGCGATTCATAGAAGTCCAACGCGCTACCATTGCGCCAGCAGGGCCGATTGATGTTCGACTGGTTTTTAAAAATTCATGACGGAATATGAAGTGGATATGGTGCGTGGTGGGTGATAGTAAAGCAAGGGAAGAAGAAACCGGTAGATGCAGGAGAGTCTAAGTGCACAGCAGTGTACAGCTCAAAAGGCGGCCACTGCAAAGGCAGCAAGGCCGGCGAGAAAATGGTTGAAAACGGATGAAACAGAGTTTTCGAGTAGATGCAGTACGGCACTGCGGAAAGGGGACGCTTTGTATGTTAGTTCTCGCGCCATATCCCAAAGGGACGCATGCGCTTAAATGATTACAATCAATCAATCAATCAATCAATCGTGGTGGGTGATCATGGGAGAGGGGATGGGAGCAGTAATGGCGGGGATTAACGATAGGACCTGTTGGTGTTGAAGTTACGGAAGGGGACAGGTTTCCGGTGGCTGCCGGTGGAAGGAATGGAGAGGAGATGAGGGTGCTTGTTTCCATGTGATGAGTGTGCAATAGGATATTGTGGAGGGTTTTAGTTTGGGAAAGATCGTGGTTGCAGTACTAAATCGGCTGTTCCTAAGTACCAAGTTCTACTTAAACAGGGCGAGGTCTCAAATCAGTTCACAGAGTTTAGAGGCGGTTCTAAGAAAGCGTTTATTACAATCCAAAAAACTATATACTACAAGATTTAACTAAAAAATCTTTCTATCTCCAACCCATTTTTTAACCCAACACCTCAACACATCTTACGCCTTCCCCAGCCCCCACCCAACCTTGTATATTCTCGAAATGTATAACACAAGACCACCGGCAATCATACACCCTCCCGCAAAACTCTGCGCACCCCAATACTCCCCCTCCATTCCTTGTATGAACGCGCCACCCACTGGCGTGCCCGTCAAACACGCAATACTGATAACACTAAACACCATCCCCATCCTCGTCCCCGCTTTCGACAGGTCTTTCGTCAGACTCGCCATAGTCGCGGGGAAGAGGCTCTGCACAGCCGCCGCAAAAAGCCCGTAGAACGCAGCCCAGATGAGCAGCGATGTGTGGGATGCAATCGTGATCCACACGAGCATGAGGATGCCGCCGATGAGGACCATGGGGATGAGGAGGTTGAGCGGGCCGATAAGGTCTGCGACGTAGTTGGGGAGGATTCGGCCAGGGATGCCGACGGAGTTGAGGACGATGAGGAGTGTGAAGGAGGTGGATTGGGGGAGGCCGAGGTGGGTTTTGGCGAAGGAGGAGAGATAGAAGAAGGCAAAGTAGAGGCCGAGGAAGGTGAGGAACATTCCTGGGGTTGTTAGCATAGAGATCTCAATAGAGAGGGGGATGTGAAGAGATACCAATGGTGAAGCAGACGTAGGTCATTTCTTTCCACGCCTCAAGGTCAATAATACCACCTGTCTTTCGGGCGCGTACTCTTGGCCGCAGTACGACGTTCGAGAATCCAAGTAATACAACCAGCACGAATCCGATGACTCGAGCGGTCCATCCGAATCCAACTTTCGGCAACAATTGCTGCACAATGACTGCTATTACAATACCACCTGTCGCACTACCGGTCGCGGCGAGTCCCATTGCTAAACTCCGCCGCGAGGAAAAGTAGGTGCTGGTGAGGGCAATCGTGGGGCAAAACATCAACCCTGCCCCAAGGCCGCAGCATATTCCTTGCGAGAGGACGACCTGCCAGTATGATTTTGCAGCGGAGGTGGTAAAGATGCCGAGGATGGTGAGGATGCTGCCAGTGCGATAAACATGATAATAATAACCTATTAAGCATGAGTAATTGTGAAGAACAGGGATAAGAACAAGCTTAAGGATAAGCTTACCTGCGTCCAGCGCTCGGCCGGTAAAGGTGCCGATGGAGAAGAGGAGAAATGTTTGTATACTTCCAATCCAGCTGACGGCTGACGGTGTGGCATTCAATGCCTCGACATAGTACGATTGGAAAACACCGAAGCCGTTGATGAAGCCCCAGGTACAAAAAACCGTGATATGGGCGCCGAGGACTGTGCTCGTTAGCTTCAAAACTCTAAAAAAAAAAAAAAAAAAGGGTTAAAACAACACCTACCCTGCATCCAGGCTCGCCATCCTCCGTCTGGCGGATGTTCGGCCTCGAGCTGCTGAGGATCTGCTCCAGCGCGGTAACTGCACGTCAATTGGAGTCCTAGATCCGCCATCTCACTCGTCTGCTCTGGCACTGTTGGCAGCTGTGCGTCATGGTTGCCCTTCTCCGCCGAACTCAGTCCGTCAAATCTGCTACTGTCAGAGTCCGATGAGCTTGAGGGATCCGAGTCTCGTCTTTCGCGCATCTTGTCGACGCCGTATGCATTGTCCTTTGGGAGTTCAGTTCTCATGAGATGGCGGTGGAGGAATAGCAGAGAGTATCAAATACAGACGGGGAGAAGGCAGTTGATCGCGATTAGGACGCAGGGGCTGGTGGACTGGACTGAAAGTCTGTTTTATCACTTTTGACTCAAGGATGGCTGTGTGAATTTTCTCGCCCGCTACATACTACCTTAGGGCCAGTTATAGCCAGTGCACCCGCCCACTCCTACCGGCCATGTCGTATCTCCCACTTAACTCGGGCCATCATAGCGAGCGAGTGCCGGGTGGTAAGAAGTACAGAATGCATGGTTGAGGTTTCAATATCGTTGCAGCGTCTGGATCTCCGGCGCTATGACGCTTGAAGGATGTCGGAGTGAGAGGTGTGGAGGGAATGAAGCATCGGGTGACGGGAAGAAAGTCCACGGAGAGGGTGTCGAGGAGTGTTTGCCCATGCACTGGGATATCCGGTTCCAGGGAATCGCACACAAGCGAAAGAGACGGGAAGTTTTGTGGGGTGCAGAAGACCAGGCGCTGTAACTTCGGCCCCATGGGATGGATGGATTCAGGACGTGATGACATTAGTCAGCTTTTGGCGACGGTTTGGACACCTGAACACCGTTGTTGTTCCACACAGTTGTTCGGCATCAAAATCACAGTGACAGTGTGTTGATTCACTCACTATGGGTAGATTCGAATAGTTAGTGTATATCTATCGTCACTTGTGGCCTTCTTCTTTCCATGATTGCTCTCGTCCTCCTCACAGTGACGGTCGAGATTCGTGCTTGCGAGGGACCCCAACCTGCAGTGTAACACGGTGTACGAATGCCGTCAGTCCCGGCGTGGCATCTGCATGAGCGGAGTTGCCTCCAGAGTCAGCGGCACAAAGGAGCGCCGCGGACCTGGCTGGACTTGTCACTCGTGATGCCGTGAGGCAGGCGGGCCGACCCGGCGCGATTTCCCGACTCCTCACAAGTTTCCGGTGTTGATCGTCAACTGGAAACTGTTGAATGCCAAAAGCTGGATGCGAGACAATTGTTTGATTGATTGATTGTAATCATTTAAGCGCATGCGTCCCTTTGGGATATGGCGCGAGAACTAACATACAAAGCGTCCCCTTTCCGCAGTGCCGTACTGCATCTACTCGAAAAAACTCTGTTTCATCTGTTTTCAACCATTCTCTCGCCGGCCTTGCTGCCTTTGCAGTGGCCGCCTTTTGAGCTGTACACTGCTGTGCACTTAGACTCTCCTGCATCTACCGGTTTGTGAGGATCTCAGCACCTCGAACCTCACGATGACATTCGCCAAGTCTTGTATTTCCTGTTTATCTCTTTCCATGACGCCATAATCATGTATTTCCCTGTTTTTATCTTGTATGATGTCACACATAACACCATTAGGTTCTGTACCTTGATTTGTCTTTCAGATGACGTCGTTACTGACATCATTTTCTCTTTTCCTTGTTTTCCGGCCATGACATCATATGGCAAGTTATCATGTATATAAGGAGCAGGATTAGCCTCTCCTCTCCCTTTTTTCTTAAGCCCGTCATTCACCACCTTCCGCACTCGATAGCACCTAGATACGCTGAAGCCCTCACTACAAGACGTAGCCGAGAAGCAAGCTATCGATACCTATTCGAATATACAGAGTTGACCAGTGAATTGTTTCTCAGATTCTCTTGTGACCAGTCTGTTGTAAACCGACTCGCCATAACCCTGAGAGCCCTTCGCTTGTCGATTCCCGTATTCCCACGGTCTGTCGATACAGCTTCACGCTGTCGTATACAGTGTCATGGACGTCGGCGATGCTGTATACGACAGCGTGAGGCTGTATCGACAGACCGTGGGAATACGGGGAATCGACGAGCGAAGGGCTCTCAGGG